TGTGATGGTGTGTGACGCGTGTATGTGTAAAGGGAGTAGGCAAAGTGAGTGTGATGAGGTAGTCTATGATATGCGTGAATGACGGTGAAGCAGCAGTGTTCACACTTAATCTAGGTGTGAGGAGAGAGTGATTGATCAAAATTCTTGCCTATTATTGGAGAAGACTAGCTAGAAAGACAGATCGACGAGATCTGGATGAGGACGAGACAGAGTGAGAGTAGGAGAAAACATGAGGATGGGGGTGGTAATGAAGAGTCAGGGGTTGCGGGACACGACATTCATAGTGAGTGGGAAGATTGTGGATATGTGGTGGGTTTATGGCGCATAGAGGGTGGTATACACACATGATAGGAAACAGTGATACATACGATTACAGACTTAGGATATAGAGGGGTGAGGTTATCATTGATGTCTTTAGGTGACTAGGTGAGGGCGTGCGATACAATCTCAGCGCTAGTTGGAGGGGTAGGGTAGAGTTTTTGTACTATATTGAATTATCTCTAAGTTGGGTTTGTAGCAAGACTCAGTTTAATTATGATACTACTATAGTATATCTTAGATACTTTGACAGTTGTTGAGTGCGTGACTATTGTATAGTTGGTTGGATGTGCGGGATATTTGGTTTTATGTGGTTGAATGTTTGTTAAAGGGTGGGGGTGGAAGGGGGGGGTATAGTGGAGTTTGTTAAATTTATAGGAAGTTGTTATATTATGGGTGTGAGGAAAATGGTGTGATGGGATTTGAGAGGAAGTGGGGGATTTAATTAGGGTGATGGGGGGAAGTAAAATAAGTTTAAGTGGTTGGGGGGTGTGGAATGAGAAGACAAGAATGTATGGGGGTGTAAGAGTATGGTAGGTTAAGTAAATTTGAAGAGGATAAAAAAATTAAAGAATTAATATTGTTTGTTTAAATTTTTATAAGTAAGATGGGAAGTAGAGGGGTGGTGTGAGGGGAATTGTTTGTGGGGAGGGTTGGAATAGTTATATTGGGGGTGTGGTTTGGTTGTTTAGGTTTATATTTGATTTAGTGTAAATTGGGATGGAAGTCGGTTGGGGTGGAATATTTATAATGGGGGTGATGGGTAGATGGAGTTGATGATTGTGTTTAAGTGGAATAGGGGGGAGAAATGGAGAGAGAAGTTAGATGTAGGAGTTATTTGTATAATGGGTGGTGAAAATATGGTAGTTTAGTTAGTATGGGATGGGAATGGGGGGGTAGATTGGTGGAGTAGGGGTAGATTTTTGAGTGTTAATTGGTTTTTATTAGTATTTTGAATTAGTAATGATGGGGAAGGGGGATTTGGTATTAAGAAGGTTGTAGGAGTGATTTTGTGAGAGTGATTATTGAGGTTGAAGTTATGGAAGTGGGAGGATAAGGAAATATAGAATTTGGGTAGAGGGAGAAGATTAGGGGGTGTTGTTAGGATTATTGTAGGGGGAGTAAGGGGGGATTTGTATAAGGGGGGAGTGTTTTAGGTTATTTGGGGTATGGTATATGATGGTGGTGTTTTTTTTGAGTATGTGTGGGTGAATTGGAGGTGTATATGAATTTGGATTAGTAATAAAGGGTGGTATTATTAAAATAGGTTGGGAGGAAAAAAATTGGAGTAAGGGGTTGAAATATCTGGTAATATTGTCAAGAAGACCGTATGTGAGTCACTTAGGATTTAAGAAATATTCAGGAATAGACTGATTAAGTAATACATGAAAACTGGGTTGTGCGCAGACAAAGAACCAGTGGCGGATGACGAACAAGATAGCGAGACGCTGCCGAAGCGACCGGCCCTCTCTCAAACCAGTCGATCGTTTTCAGCAGTGACTGCGACGACATGTGAGGATGCGAAACGTCGCATGCTCAAGTGAGATCAAGCCTTATACACTCATGCTGAGCGCCACCACACATACACGCCTACCACTCTCCTCGTGTCGTCAGTAAAGGTCATCGAGAATGTCCATTCAGTTGTTGATTTCACCGTATTCTGTTCGCACATGTTTTTGCCATACTAGGGTTACAGGCGCTATAGAGCATACGCTCTCGAAGGTTTATTTGCCGAGACTAAGAATTAGCAGTGTGGTAGGAATCTTAGCGGACGTCGCTGAACTGGTAATACCGGGTGGAGTTGGAAAGGCGTCTTTGTGGGGCATTGTCGCTGTCGACACAGACGTCTTTTAAACAACTGATAGGCACTGATCCGCGCTCCGTCTTGCGATCGATGACAAATAGTGTCAATTTGTTGTAAGACCTGAAACGGTCCTCCAAATGCAGAAGCCAGAGATCGTTTGACGTCGTCAAATAGTACGAAAACGCGAGTAAACGTTTGGTGCTCCGACGGATTAAATGTCTCCTGGCTTCGTGAAAGAGTACCTATAGGCGCGATGCGACGCATGCGTCACGTCAGCTAGTTTGCAAAAGAAGCGACACAGGTGTGTTGTAATCCGAGGCAGTAGATAGTAGTCCGTTGGGAAGTGCAATGCTTGACCGAAAAGAAGTTCGGCGCTAGAGGCTTGTAAGCGAAGCTTAAGACTTGCGTGTATACTCAACATGAGAGCAAGTAATATCTGTCCATTGGAGAGGATCCACTGCTGTGAAGCTGGCTTTAAGTTGATGATGGGAACCTTCTACTATGATGTTCGATTGTGGATAGTTAGTAGTGGCAGTGTCATGTTGACGCTCTAATACGTAACACACCTGGGAACTGCGAGCTCTCGAATTGTGGTTCCCCCTATTATAACGCCTGCTGGACAACCATTGAGGCCAGACTACTCATGGATACTCGAACGATTTCGTCTGTGCTAACATTCATCGATGATTGTCAGCAAGTTGACCATGACGTTGGAGAGTGAAAGCTGACCGATGATATTGAAATGGACATGGGCCAGTTGAGAGCTAACTGTTGGGAAACGGTCAATGATACAGCTACTGTTTCATGCCAAGTTCACCCACCGCTCCCCAGCCAGAAGTGCTACTGATGCTACGTGAGTTATTGCACGTATGATTATCAACCAGTCAGTGTTCTCTATTGATTCATTTATAATCATTCGCGCATTCATGTGACTCACGTCTAAGGCAGTTTTCACTTGCTCAAATGTGCTGAATTGGTTATGCTGCTTCCTACTGCAATACCGTAGTCCTGATTTCGCTTGGGTGCAATAGCCGGTTACGTTTCATTGTATTTTCGACTGTTGGTAGCGAAGACGGGTGCGAACCAACTGATTAACGTCTCGATTGGTATTGCGATACACGAAACACTGTGTGAAGAATGCCAGAATGCGATAGGCCATGGAGGGCATCAAACACGATAAGATGAAAGGCTTGAGGAGTTATAGGATGCGGGGAATTTTACAAAGAATCGTTCCTTCCAAGCACGGTAGAGGAACTGGCCGGATACAGAGGGAGCTAGACAAGCGAAGCTGGTTAAGCTTTGGCTCGGTCTGTTGCGCAGCAGCTATTGCTGCTAGACCGATGTCATGGACAGGTGCAATGGAAGTGACTCGGGATACGGCGCTTGAAACATGCCGCATATCAGACATTAATCGGAAGGCACAGTCCAGATGGCGTATTTATCGGAGCATAATACGATAGCATAAGCCAGTTTTGTGGTGAGCAAAAATGATGAAATCTCTGTTCCCGAATGAAGGTCGAAATTAGCGAATGGCTAGATCGATTGCTAAAAGTTATCTTCCAGAAATGCTGTAACAAGGTTTTAACTGGTTGCAATCAGTTCGAAAAGGAAGCTAATGATTGACAGGAACCACTGATGAACTGCTACAGGACTGCTTCGTTGAAAGTGTCCGTGACAGCAGAAAAGACTTTGGCTGTGGGCGTGCCAAACGAGCACTGTTTGCAACCTAACGTTGAGTGTCACGATTAGATCGGCAAACCCACACCATCAAGAGTACATGTGACTAGCCCCAATTACATGCTATAACAATCTCAATCTAAACACATTCCCTATAGTGCACAACCATAAATCCAGTGGTGCACCACATTCAGTGCGCTGCTCCTTCTCAGTTTTTGCATCTAGCTATTATATAAATTTTCCGACAGTGTTCAATAAACAATGAATTTATACGGGTTAAGAAGCGTTGCTTTACAAGCCCCGTTGGATAGTTGGTGGGGATATCAACATAATAATTATGATGAAAAGGATAGTAAAATAGTTAATACTTTAAATACGAAAATAAGGACTTGTCGTTTGCTTCGCTGCAGTCCTGCGATCCACTTAGATTCACAACACTCACAGTTAACAACAAATAATTCCAGGTGTAGGATGGAGACATAGTGTTAAGTAACGAAGTGTAAGTGGATGAGTGCATCGGCCAACCGTCTTTTAAATATTGTTAGTGTCGGTGCAGAGACGACCGATTCTGGGAGAGCATTCCACGGGTGACAGACACGGATGGAAAAGAAATTTCTGCGGCACTCCAGACGACTGTATTGTTCTGAGAGTTTTAATGAGTGGCCCCTCAGGTTTGTATTGCTGCTGAGTTGCAGTAAAGGGCGGCACACATGATGTGGGTCTCGCAGAATCAAGTATGTCATAATCAGGTCGCCTCGTAGCCTGCGATAGCTTCCACTGAACAATCCTAGTCGTCGCAGCCTCTCCTGGTAGGACAGATTGCGCATTCCAGTTACGTTCTTAGATGCCCGGCGTTGTGGCTACTCCAGTGCATTTAGGTCGTGTTTCAGCCATGGATGCCAAGCTTGAATTGCGTATTCGACATGGGGGCGAACACACGCACTGAGCATTTGTCGAAATATGGAGCTGTTTATTTGTCCAAACGCCCGCCTCAACAGCCCCGACGTGTTGGTTCCCGCTCGAGGCCTTTTCGATATTCTGAGCCATGGAGCAATCCCCTACTCCATCACTTCGAAATTCAGGAGAACAACCCAAGTCCAGCTTCGAGACGTGATTGTTGACAGCGCGTACATCGTGCCCGCATCCGCTATGAGAGTATGCTGCTTGGGAGAGAGAGAGGAGGGTGAGCGGGTTGAGCTACATGGGGGGGTGGGGCTGGGGGTTGGGTGGGGGGGAGTGGGCGCGAGCGGAGCGGAGTGGCGTGGTGATTTCTTGTTATTGGGGGGGTGGGAGTGGGTGTCGTGTTAAGAATGGAGGAGTAAGGGGGGGGGGGGGGGGGGGGGGGGGGGGGGGGGGGGGGGGGGGGGGGGGGGGGGGGGGGGGGGGGGGGGGGGGGGGGGGGGGGGGGGGGGGGGGGGGGGGGGGGGGGGGGGGGGGGGGGGGGGGGGGGGGGGGGGGGGGGGGGGGGGGGGGGGGGGGGGGGGGGGGGGTGGGGGGGGGGGGGGGGGGGGGGGGGGGGGGGGGGGGGGGGGGGGGGGGGGGGGGGGGGGGGGGGGGGGGGGGGGGGGGGGGGGGGGGGGGGGGGGGGGGGGGGGGGGGGGGGGGGGGGGGGGGGGTGGGGGGGGGGGGGGGGGGGGGGGGGGGGGGGGGGGGGGGGGGGGGGGGGGGGGGGGGGGGGGGGGGGGGGGGGGGGGGGGGGGGGGGGGGGGGAGGGGGGGGGGGGGGGGGGGGGGGGGGGGGGGGGGGGGGGGGGGGGGGGGGGGAGGGGGGGGGGGGGGGGGGGGGGGGGGGGGGGGGGGGGGGGGGGGGGGGGGGGGGGGGGGGGGTGGGGGGGGGGGGGGGGGGGGGGGGGGGGGGGGGTGGGGGGGGGGGGGGGGGGGGGGGGGGGTGGGGGGGGGGGGGGGGGGGGGGGGGGTGGGGGGGGGGGGGGGGGGGGGGGGGGGGGGGGGGGGTGGGGGGGGGGGGGGGGGGGGGGGGGGGGGGGGGGGGGGGGGGGGGGGGTGGGGGGGGGGGGGGGGGGGGGGGGGGGGGGGGGGGGGGGTGGGGGGGGGTGGGGGGGGGGGGGGGGGGGGGGGGGTGGGGGGGGGGGGGGGGGGGGGGGGGGGGGGGGGGGGGGGGGGGGGGTGGGGGGGGGGGGGGGGGGTGTGGGGGGTGGTGGTTGAGTTATTTTTTTGTGGTTTTTTGTGTGTTTGTGTGTTTGTGTGTTGTATGGATTTATTAATTATTAGAGGTGAATTGTGTATTATTTGGTTTAGGTGGGTATTGGTTTTATTTGTTTGTTAGTGGAGGATTGGATTGGTTGTTTATAATTTTATTTAGGGGTAAGTGTTAAGTGAAGGGGGAGGATATAATATAGAGTAGGGGTGGGGGGGAAGTGTTTTGAGAAGTTAGAGGGTAATAGTTGGGAAGGGGGTTTGTGTTTGGGGGAGTGAATGATGTTTGTGGGGGGAGAAGTGAAAAGTTGGAGGATGAGGTGGTGTTGGTGGTGAAGTGGGGAGTTAGTGAGTTTTGAAGGGGTTTTTGAATGGGGTGTGAGATGATTATTAGAGGAGGAATGAGGAGGGAGGAAGAGGTAATTAGTAGGAGGGGATTGGTGGTTTTGGTGGGGGTATGTGAAGGGGGTAAGGTTTAAGGGAGGATGTGGGGGTGGAGGGGGAATTGTGATATAAATATGATTAGTGTGGAATGTAAGGTTGTGTTTTTGGGGGTAGGGAGTGGGGTGTGATGTGAGGGGAATAGGGGGTTGAAGGGTGTGGAATTGAGGAATATGAGGTTAGGGGAGGAGTTATGGGGTTTTTTAGTAGTTTGGAAGAATGGGGGGGGGAGAGTAGAAATTGAAGATGTATTGAGAGTATAAAGATAGGGGGGGAGGGGTTTGGATGAGGGGATTGTATAAGAGAGGTTTCGGGTGTGGGTTAGTCCTGGTGAGCAGAATACAAAGCTTGGTAGATCGCTTGGTGGCAAGACCCTTTGAAACGTGGGGGCGTATTGCATCTGCAACGCGTTTGCAGCTTCCATAGACGTTCTTGTTAGGCCATCAGCCGTCTTGAGTGGAGGAAATCCTTGCCTCACCTTTCGTGGGCTATAAACGTGCTTGTACAGCAGTTTGTGGTTAGCACTGAAGGTTTTTGCGATGTTCTGCTGATAGGCGGCTTTGTCTTCTCTTAAAAGTTGCGTGCAGTGGTTACGTTGGGCTACGTAGTTGTCCCAAGTTTCTGGTGCTGGAGCTTCTTTGTACACTCGCCATGCTGCGTTGCGTACTGTCATCCATTTTCGGGTTCTGCTCCTAACGAAAGAAACGGATTCGCACTTATTGTAAGCTTTTATCTCTGAAGCCTGTGCAATCAGCTGACTGAATGTTTTGACGAACTCGAGCCAGGCGACTTCCGGGGGTTCTTCTTCGAGGAAAGACCATGTTGTGGCGCTGACTAGCTGGGCGAGTCGGTCGTACCTTGTGATGGTTCGCACAGTATCATCGTTATCATTCCGATATTCTGCAAAGCAGACGAAGTTGAAACTGATGACTGCGTGATCACTGCGACCCAACGGGCAGTCTAAAACCAACGCATCAATCATATGCTCCTCGTTGGTAAGCACAAGATCCAACACAGATGGCCTGTTACCAGTTCTGAACCTAGTGGGCAAAGTGATGTGGTTGTAAAGAGGAGCAGTAGTTACTAGATGTTGTAAATCGGTTTTGAATTGTTCGCCGGTTGTGGCAGGGGCTTCTAAACAATGTACGCCGAAATCACCCATGATAAGAACGTGAGTGTACTTTTGTTGTAAACTGCACCTTAAAGCAGCCTTTAGGTGGTAGTCGGTTTCGGGTGTTGAGTTAGGGGCGCGGTACACCAAGATAATAAGGCAAGCGTCCCTGCCTTTTAACTGCAACCGGCACCAAAGAGAGTCGGGGAACTGCGAATCTGGATCCTCCACGGCTTCGCACTGTAAGTCGTTTCGGTAGTACAGGATTACCCCACCTCCTTTTGTGAGCCTATCGTTCCGGATCAGCGACATGCCGGGTAGCGACACTTCAGCGTCCGTCATTCCCGTGTGCAACCATGTCTCGGTGATACCAATGACATCATACGAGCCGGAAGCTTGGCGATCTTTCAGTTCAGCCAGTTTGTTAGAAACTCCCTGAGCATTTGTATACAAGCAGGCCAGTTTCTCGGTCTCTAGGAGCCCGCAGAGAGGTGAAGCTGTCAAGTGAGGGAGAATGCCGACCGATGGAAGGTCGGCAGTTATTCGTTTTTTTGATGGGTCAATGATACCTCGTTTGCAACTTGATTCGGCCAAGGTGCGTCCCAGCCTTCGTTTAGACCTACTTCAGAGTCAATTAAAGCAGCAGTCAAGTTACACTTCTGTACATTCGTCAGGATGCTTACTGCTTTAGTTGCTCTAATACTTGAGCTGTGCGAATTGTTTGCGACCTTTAACCGAATTTCGGAAGGAAGATGTTTCCGATTTCTTCGCCATCGATCCAAAACATCCTTTGCTTGTTGCTCTGACTGAACCACAAGTTTTAGGATTCTAGGGCCGTATCCTCTATAATTCGATGAGAGGGGTATCCTGGTGAGCGATAGTGCCACAACATCATCCAAAGAAAGTGTTTCACGAATGAACCGCCACTGTTCTAAACCGTGCTTTCCGGTATCTTGAACATGGTTAGAAGGATGTTCTGGCACGCCATGTATGAAGACTGTGTTTAGGCGGTCTTGCTTGCTGTGCCCCACTTCGGAGTTTCGTTTTGGTTGTCGCGCGCTCCAAGGGACATCAGGATAGATACGTATCGCACAGGATTCGTGTTTTAGCGCGCTTGCGGAGAGCAAAACGTTTTCCACGTCGGTGGAGGATTCTAGAGTTACTCGAATAAGTCTGGGTTCACCATAGTGTGGCGAGTTCGGATGACGAGTAATTCGTAACAAGTTTATGGGCTTGGCTTTGATACTCATCTGCATACACAATGAGTTCCATTGGTCTTGGTCGTCTGACAACTTATCCCGCAATGTGATGGTGGTAGATTCAGGGAAATTTGAGCATACAACAGTCCGGGCACTGTTGTTGGATCGCTTTTTAATCGATCTACAAGGTATGGTACTCATTTGTCTTGACTTGTTGACAAGTGATTGTTTGCTCTTTTTCCCTCTATTTGCGTTAACGGTGTTTACAATGGAAGAGGACGCAACGGCGGCCTCTCGGTGAACCCTTACAGCAATCTCTGCATATGTAACCGACGTTCTGGGAGGCTTAGTCTCGACAAGAGATATTTGAGCTACAGGTACCAAGGGTTGGTGTTTGGCTGCTCCATCCTTGTTAATACTTGATGTCAGGTCTAGTGGAATTTGCTTAACCAGACGTTTTGAATGGTGCCTGATTTTCTTTGCTGTGAGTACTGCTTGATTCACGTAGGTACAGTCTGTTTTCGCCCGGCGTTCTACCAAAGTTGGAGAAGACAACGGAGATGGAGACATGGCTGATTGCGATGCAGGCGAAGCGATTTGTTCAGCATTCCGTTGCTTAGCAGCTGCTACGTTTCTGTGGTCCATACTCGCTCCCATTGAAGTAATCTCATTGTTGATCCTCTGCTCTGCTTCTGCGATTAACTGGTCGCATTTCTCAGCTAGGATAAGGAAGCACTTAACGAGGGGGATGGTGGAACACGCAGTACAGAACCAAAATGCATCTTGGGAGCTATTTCGCTCCCGTAACTGTTGTTGGGACACATTTGCACATTTCGTATGGTACCATGCTAAACAGTGCGAACAAGCCAGACCGATTTTTACTACCCGATGACATTCTCCTAACCCACAAATGCCTTTCGATGGGTGTCTCTTCGGTTTCGCCTTTCTGCCATTCAATTTGGTGTCGTTACCTGACCCAGTGGGTTGGTTAGCGTTCTGTACTTTTACAGCAGTAGTAGTATCAGAATGGTGTTGTGCGTCGTGCTTATCGATCTGTTCCGGCGCCGCCATCATAATTGACTAAGAGAATAAAACAGCACTCGACTGTGAACCCAAACACCCAGGTTTGGAGCATGTGTAGTAAAGCAGCCATACGACTGCGACATAGATTCAAAGGAAAGAGGCAGGATTCTTCGAATCAGCATCCAATAATCATCCTTCACTCGTAAAGCTAAGATTGAAAGTATCACTGTTATTCCATTTCTGGTTTTTTAAGGCATCAGCAGTAAGCCGGTATGTAGTACCGACGCTAGAGAGATTGAAATGGTCACCCGGCCCCTACGCAGGCTCGCACCTGCGCTCAGATTACAAGGCACATTTGTGATCCTTAAGACTATGGGCCGGTTCTTTACAACCCAATTATTAAGTTGTTGATAAGAAACTACGTATGATTTAATATGTCAAGCTAAAAGCAAATCGGGTCGTTTCAAACCAACAATATCAGTTTAGAAGCAAAAGACGGCTGGGCGAAAAGTTTGTTTTCGGCGGTACGCATCAGGTCAATACACCACAGAAAATAGGAATAAAACTAACACAGGGTATTTAAACACGATGAAACAATGAAGTGAATTGACCGGCCAATGAGATCAAATGACGGCACTGGCTAGGGCAGCATTAGTGGAAGGGTTAAGCGTGGCGTCGTTACATGGGGAAGCTTGAAGCCATGGTAGCTGTAGAGCGTGTACAAACTACTTTTGAACACATAAGTTGGGGTTATGGAGCAGAATAGCGATTGCCTCCGCTGTCGCTGATAGGTGACATCGGAGGGCTCGCGTATGTCGTCCAGATATCCTGTAGATAAGTTGGAAGGCTTCTCGCACATTTACTTGATGATTTGAGTCGACCAAGTGCCATAGCAACCGTGCTGGCTGCTGTCTTTCTGACACAGTGTAGTGCCACGCCGGGCAACGTTCCTGGACTCTCTCAGACAGTCGCCTAGTCGTCTTTCCAATATAACTTGCTGGACATGAGCAGGAAAATTGGTACATACAGAAGGAAATATTTGACCTCGGTATTCTGTCCTTGAGATGTTGACTCACGACTGGTGTAGAAGTAAAGCCGACATGGAGATCAGTTGCAAAGGTTCTCGTAGTTGCATTGCAGAGCCTTAGAGTAGTTCATTTCGCTACCACCTCACTCTTGAAAGGCAGTGATAAGTAGATTAAGCGCTTTTCTGCGGTGATTGATTGGACTTTTGGCGCTCGTGGCTCTATGTGCCACTGGAGGAAAGTGTCCGGGTAACCATTTTGTTCGAGAACGCTTCGAATAAAACTCAACTCGTACGACAGCACCTTCCGTGCATATTTTCCTCGTTCTTTCCATTAGACAACGGATGAGGTTACGTTTATGACTCATTGGAACGAAACTGGCAAAATGGGTATACTGACCTCTCCAAGTTGTCTTCCTGTGCACTGACCCATTCGATGTCCTAGTGATGTGGACATCTAACAGTGACAAGGAGTTCTACAATGAACACTAGGTTGTGTGCAGCGTTGAAGTGGGCTAGAAGATCTTTAATGCATACCCGACCATCAGCAACACAACGTAATGACCGTAGTAAACCAAGTTGTTGATACATTCGTTTAGCTGGGTGTTCTCCAACTTACACATGAAGACATCGGCGAGTAGTGGTCCTAATGGTGAACCCATAGCTACCCCGTCTATTTGTCAGTAAAACGTCTCATTGAACTGAAACTGAATGTTCTTAGTGCACGGCAGTATAAGTTGCCTTAAACGGTCATTTGGAATACCGAAGTTGATGCTGTGCAGTTGGATAAGCTCGAAGAGATAGTGAATGGTCTATTCTAGCGGGACGTTGCTAAAAGGTTTACATCGGGATGATAATGGGCTGAAGTGTTGGTCCCTCACCAGATTTCACGGCTGGCACTTTATCGGAACTCGAGGTCACTGGTTCCCACAGAAAAGATCGGTTTCGGACGAGCAAAGAAGAAGCGAACTCTATTGACTAGTCATGGTTGGTCGCATCGGGCTCCGGATTTGCCTGTCACTGTGGTTTTCATATGACAGCAACAGGACGCTTGCGCCTACAGGGAGACCATGATCGCTTGCGCTGCACCACCCACACACCCCATATCCAGTGTAAACCCGAATAAATAAAACCGGGAGGTAAGTGGATTGGAGCCACGTTTCATCAACGGAGCCGGCCCACGTTCCTTTGACATACACATGAACAGCATTCATGTCTAGCTATGCAGGGAATCATGGGTACCCAAAGTACACAAGACGGTGGCGGGGTAGTACTCATACAGTCTAATATAAAGGCCAAATCGAACATTTGGGAAAGGTATATGAAGCTCATGCGGAGACCTCGAAAAGGATAAACCTTCGACTAATCAAGCAATGCTGCTCTTGTGTTAATTGGCCGGTTCACTCAGTTGGCTACACGCTAGTCCAATCCATTCAGGAGATTGACGGCTCACCGGCCATGCTTTGGCTCCGTATCGGCGATCAGCTGCTTGTCTAGTATTTTTTCCGAACATAGGCGAAGGCGGTTCTGAGATCAGAAGCCTTCAGGAGTACTTCGAGCTGTCCCGGACGCATGCAACAAGACAACAGAGCTCTAATGTGTCTGCAGTTCGTCGAAAGGGAATGACAATGATGAAACTTACACGTTTCTTACGATGTTGAGTCAATGGCCTGCGATAGCTGCAGTGTCGAAATCATCCTCATCAAGTGTACAGATGGCATTCTACTTGAATCGAGTTCGGTTAAGTCTTTTATGTGCAACACACTCTGGGGTTGCATGCAGAATTAATAAGCAGCAGTGTATGGTTCCATTCCGTGTTTCAATAATATTTTTTGCTAGCAGTAACCGGAGCCAATCAAAGATGGATTCCATGTGCAGCTTTTATTCCAATAATTAAAAGTATGAAGTTCTAGTATGTCGCCCATTGGGGTCCGAAAACGTCTATGAGACCGTACCGGGGTCAGTGCTTATGCATGACAGCAGCCGAAAACAATCTCGATACCTGGCGAACATAAGCGGTTACTCGAATTGTTGATACAAAATAGCTGCTGGAGTTAGTTAGATACACAAAAAACGAACAGGAATAGATGCAGTCCGAGTAAAATAGGGGAATGATCTAGTTATAAGTAGGCGCTCCATTTGGACTGGTAACCCGACTGGAAATTGGAGTTGGTCAGAGGCGTTTCGGAAACCTGGAGGGAAAAAGGAGGCTAATGTCATTGGCTTGGCGAGAGAGCAAGGTAGGCAAATTAACGCCACTGATCGTATTAAAAAAGCGAGGAATGAAATAATTTACTGAGCTTTCATTTGTATACTGGGTGATAATCTACTTAGGCGGCCTAATCATAGTGAGCTAGACGTCTAAGTGAAGCGGAAAGTGTCGGACCGTCAGTAGCTCATTGACAGGCAATCTATGCAACATAAACTCACAAGAGTGAATTATGTAAATGGGGGAAATCGCTGCGTGGCTGAAGGCATACAATTATAGTGAGTATGGTAAATGGGGCAAAAATGGGGATATATCCCAGGTAACAGGGCGTACACCGTTTAGAATCACGGGGATGAGGTGGTGGGTCATAACAGCGAACATAATTAAGATAGAAAAAGTTCAGTTGAACACTACAATTTCAGCCATCGTTTAGTCAATACCTTCTCATTCCGCCATTCTACCGTAAACAGCTGGCTGTTAGCTGGTCAGGAAGGCCACCGAAGAGTTAAGTGGCCGTGTGATATCCCAAGGCGTTGCTTGCCCGTCAACACGACAAGAATGCTAGATGGCTAAGGGAGAGGCGAAAAACGCCACAGGAAGAAAAGTTGTGTGGCGTCACAGTGAGCTGAAGAGCAAGTCTAACTTCGGCGTATACAACTCACGTCTTAAAGCACAAAATCGCCAGTTGCCAGCAAATTAAACGGCACAATACCGGAGGCAATAGTAACTTGTACCGCCTACTGAGATACATGTCAACAAAATAATGAAAGTGTAATAACGAATGTCATCTCACCATCAGTACACATTAGATGAAGGTGAGAAACACGCAATCCAAAAAGATAAGATATCCGAAAAAGCCAAATACTAAATAGTATAGAATACAAAAATAGGTAAACAGGGCGTAGTAACATATTACGCTCCAAGAGAGACATTGTGGTTGGAGGGGGAAAGATAAGCGACACGGGGAGGGACAAAGAAACCTACAACACAATAGCCAATGGAGTCAGCTCCTTGCTATATCAACAAGTGTCTGCAACCTAACATGTTCAATGTTTTTAAGACCCCAGCCAGGAAGTCGGGTAACACCAACCGACGAGAAATTGGAAGTGAGGGCCTTTATTCCTTTTGACCAAGTAATCGTTTGGTCTCTAATCTTCCTTTTCCATCCACACTCCCGGAGCGTAAACAACGTACGTAGCGGGAGTGGGTGTGTTGGCATACGCAACACGTGGCCCAACCAAAGGGAGCCTGGTGCGTGATATAACGGTGCTGAGCGGTTCACTAGTTTCCCCTGCACCTTCGCCAAGTTGCGAATAACTATGCACTCACAGCGTCCCCGTATAAGACCACCAAAGCGAACTGCATGATCGGCACAAACGGGTGCGTGGTCAGAGTCCACGCTCCTGCTCCAAATCGAATACGACTGTGGATAATGTCCTACTATTCGTGAGGACTGAAGAGGATCATATTTTTGATGATAACCACCACTTGAGTATGAATTCACTCATCATCATCATCATTATATACGTTAGCTAGAGGTAGGAAACACCTCAGCTACTGTGCCGCAATACACAGAAAAAAGGAGAGAAAAAAGAATGCAACTGGTGCAAGCCGGCTGAGCTACCGGTAACGGACGGGCATCGTTCCGGTAAGCTACCAGCCGGCTGCTGTGCATCAAAAAAATTACTATGCAAAATTATATAAGGCTAAATAATGAGATCGTGGTTGGAAGGGGAGGCTAAGAGGGATGGGGCGGGACAAAGAAACTCACAGCACGAACGCCACTGAGGTCGGCTCCTAGCCATATCAGCAAGTGTATCCAGCCAAACGTGTTCATCGTTTTTCGGACCCCCATCAAGGAGTCGTGACCCTTCAACAAAAGCCAGCTTCGAAGTGAGGGCCTTCATTCCTCTCGACCAAGTCATCGCTTGGCCACCCCTCTTCTTCTTCCATCTACACCCCCGGCGCGTAAACTACGCAAGTCGCGGGAGTCGGTGGGCTGGCATGCGTAACACGTGGCCCAGCCATCGGAGCCTGGTGCGTGAAATAACGGTGCTGAGCGGTTCATTTCCTTTCCCAGTACCGTAAACAAGGCGTCGAACACGCTCGTTGCTAACTCGGTGTTCCCACCGGATGTGAGCAAAATTGCGAAGGCACCTGTGGTCGAACGTAACTAGCCACTTCAGGTCCGCTGCTTTAAGGGTCCAAACTTTAACGGTGTGCTCATAGTAACTCGTGTGCAAGTGGCTAACATCCCAATAGACCGATACCCGGTGTATACGCCTTCACTATCCTGCTTTCAACTCATCAGTACATCAGACGCAGTATAGAGATATGGAGTGCCAACGACTGCAATATAAACAGTAGACAACGAATAACAACATGGGAATAATTAATGTGAGCTGAGCACAGCGACAATCGCTTACACCACTGAAAGAAGCTAGTCACTGTCGGCGGATGTACTTAAAGTGGGATGGAAGAAAAAAAAGGCTACGAGTGCGCTCCAAAGGATTTCTTTGCGGAATAAGAAACCTTGGACGACACCGCGAGTCATGAGTTTAGAGAGAGTGAAAAACAACTGATGGATAAATTTCATCAGGGTCGATGAAGAAAAATCGACACCAATTATTACCCACTTCAGACGAAGTTCTTCCAAAGATGCTTCGATGAGCAGCAAGCACGGCACTAGTACCCACATTTTTAAAGGTAGTGGCCGTTCAGACCTTACAAACTATCGCCCAGTGACTCTTATCCTTGTGCTCGCGAAAATGATGGAAGCGGTAATCGCTGAGGCTCTGGAAAAATGCAACGTCTTGGCACTGGAGAAGTATGGTTTCCGTCAACATCGGTCATACATCACCAATCTGCTGACGGCACGAGGTAGGTAGACACAAGTGGCTGATAGTGGTGTCGGAGTCAACGTCATCTATTCGAACTTCTTTAAAACTTGCAACCATTCGGATCACTGCATCATACTTCACAAGCCACAGAGCTACGAAATCGGAGATCCCGTAATCTGTTAGATGGGAAACTTTCTTTACTAAAGGCTTCAAATGATCGACTGAGATGCAATGCGGTGTTCCACAGGGTTCGGTACTGGGGCTACGCTTATTCCTGGTGTTAAGCAACGACTTGACAAGAGTTATCGCCTCTAGTTTCCGACATGACATGGATTGCATTCATGAATGGTCTGCGAGGAACCTACTCCAGTTCAACACATCTAAGTGCAAGGTGATCCACCTACGTCACCAGCCAGTGAGCATTTACAAGCTTGAATACACGTTACAGGCCCCTAGGAAGTGTGACTTGTGTGTGTTGTTACAAGACGATCTCGGATTCTCAAAACAAGCAGAGGCGTCGGGAACCGACAATCAACATTTTGACCTTTTTCGCAGAGCGGTCGGTCGGTTTGACCCCCCAATTTTCTCACAAATGTTTAACGCTTACGTGCGACCGCACGTGGAATACGTCATCCAAGCGTGGCAGAAACAGGATCACGTTGCCCTTGAAAGTGCTCAAGGAAGGGCAATGAAGAACGTGAAGAGTCTCCTCCACATGACCTATCAGCTTAGATTGAAATCCCTAAGATCGTACAGCAGTAGATATCGGCGTTTGCGGAGGGACCTCCAAATGGTTTACCAGGTTCTGAAGAACCCAAACCACATTTGTCGACCGTTGCTGGAACTGAACCACAACACCAATCTAATACGTTATCCTCTGGAACTGACAATACAGTATAGTCGGTTGGAATGCCGTAGAAATATCTTCTTCCTCCGAGGGTGTCAGCTGTGGAACGTACCCCCAAATTATGTCGTCCCTGCTCCCAAAGTAACAGGATTCAAAAAACGACTTGACGAAGAATTGTCACATTCGCACTTCAATCTTTAACTTGTGTTGGTCAGGGGGCTATACAATGCAATTAAACGGTGTATTTCTGAAATTCCAACCCCTGGATTGATACTTTAATCATGCGAGCAATTCAGTTCTTCTTCACGTCTATGGTGAGTCCATCAAAACGCTTTTCATTTTATCTTAATTTTTTCTCAATAATCCCCATCCCACGAGACACATTAAGCACATTTTTTTAAAACCCGTAATAGATCGTTGTTCCATTGTCCCACTAAATGTGGGTGAAAAACCAACATTTCGGTTGTCCGTAACGTTTGCGTAAATGTGACACTCGCAAGCGAGAAACACGCATGTTTTGAACTCAGCCTGTGATAACCACGGTTTTGATCTCTAATTATAACTGCAAACGATGATGCGCCATATAGGAGAAAGAGTGCTTTTGTAGATCATTCTTGTTACAAACTCTTAAGCCCAATGGGACCGTGGACCGAACGCGTGAAGTAGTTGTTAATCCAACTAACAAAGTACACAGAAGGCTTTGTCGGTGTCAGTGAAAGCCCAGTAACATTTGATGATCAAATGAAAGCAGATAGGATCAAGTCTAAGAAAAATATTAACGGTAAAGTTGAAAAGAAAGCGAGAGGACCGTGAACTTCGCGTCAGAAAAACAAAACCATTGATTCATACAACGTCAAACCTTGATTTTCGCTCTGATTTCATCCGTTTCGCTACACAGTCCTTGAAAGTTGTACAAGGAACATAGTGAATCTCCGATTGATGTGCAATAGAAAAATGTTAAATGTAATACGCAATGCTAGGACAAAACAGATCCAAAAATGCGGTAGTCACTACCATATCGAGTGGACAAGACTGGTCTTTAACAACTTTGCGGTCTGAGCAAGCTTTCAGCCGGTACTCTGATACCATATCAGAACGAGCGTCAGAGACATCGTAAAGAGGAGGAGACTTTTGTTCTTCCTGAAGCAAATTGAGGTCGGAAACATCACACAGGTTCGACGAGTTTTGAACAGTTGATTTCTTCCACACGTCAGGAATGGTGTTCTCTGACCCAGCCGTCAGCACTGCAGCGTTCATGTTCAGTTGCTGTACGATGGTTCGGCAATCTCTAGCCGGAGCCTCAGCAAAAACCTGCATTGGGATTCGAGAAACCAGGCAACAAATTTGTCATGAAGCAGACTAAATAGTGGTCAAGAATACACTCGTTAGCCCATAGAATAGAAGTAAGGATAAATCTTCCAAGAAACAAACAAATCAAAAGTTAATAAAGCGCATCGTCATCAATATAGTTAGATTGTTGCATGCATGTACTTCATTAACACGATACCACCCAAATAGATGCGTATGCCATCTGGGATATTCCGTCCCAATCTTCTGGACCCTGAGTTATCTTTAAGCTGGTGGTTTGAAAAAACGCAAGAGAAAATACTTCCGCGGCCGATGCTGACAACATAATGTTGAGATTTTAGGATAAGCTAAGCTGGATGAGACCCCTCTCTGAGGAGTATACGACTAGATAATTGATAGACGCTCACTGTATAGGCTATGTTGTATGCGTCTGGTCGCGGATTCCGAGGGTGTATGTGGGTCGCAATAGATAGAGGAGGCTGAAAGGCAAAATATTTACTTCGCGGGACTGGGCAGTTTCATCACAACATTATACTATTTCTCAGTTGACTGCATCCTTAGCGCAATGGCTTCATATTTAAAGCAGCAGCATGCATCCTTAGCGCAAAAACCATAATCCGATAGTCACGAAAATTGCATCCATGACGCCCTCAGTGAGTCAACTGTCTTCCAATAGACATCACTTTTGTTCACTCAAGCCATCCGCCCGTCTAGGTGCGCACCAGCATCGGACACTAAGGGGATGGAAGCAGGGGCTTAGTCACGAACTGGCTCCAAACCCGAAAGCCTGGGCTGTGAGGGTTAGGAGAAGTCAGCACAGTTCCGGACGAACGCAGACGTAACAGTGAACGTGTACGGAACACTAGATCGCGCCTCCTGGTTGGGAGGAGCGCGTTGTGAATGGGGTCAAAACGGTTTCACAAAGAAGGATTGAGTGAACAAACGAAATGTCCTTTTGGACAGCTGACTCACTGAGGGCGTAGCGGATGCAATTTTCGTAACTATCAGATTATAATTTTTGCGCTAAGGATGCGAGCTGCTTCCCTACAGATGAAAGCCATTGTGTTAAGGATGCAATCAAATGAGAAATGGTCTAGTATGAGTCGGAGAGTAGGCCTGACCTACATTTCGCGACGAGCTGGACGGCGTGGTCACAGCTGCCGATAGAGGACTGAGCATGAGATGACTGGATGGATGGGGAAAACACGCACGAGAGATGGTTGTGCTAAAGACACCGAAGACGAATGGGAAGGAAAAAAAAAGAGGAAATGAAAACGGCCTTATAGGCTAAGCACGACGACGTCTTACCAGTTTGGTAAAACAAAAACCCTGACGTGCTACAGGTTACACACTCTGCAAGTAGGCTAGCACTCGGCTAAATGTGGTAGGCGAAAAGTTAAATATTGTATGCAAGCATGTCACATGCACCGAAAGGTAACAACATCCAATGTATTTACTCAAGCAAACAATATCAGCACAGGTTTGCGCTTCCGAAAAACATTCTTAGCGACCGGAGCAAAAAGTGCATACGAGCTTATGTAATCTATGATAGGAAATGTGACACCCTTGGCTGTAGGGCTATCATTGTGACGTAACGAAACCAGTGAACCTCACCATATTATCTTGTACCAAGCTCTGTTTTAGGTGCTAAGACTAGAAAACGATGACAACACAGTACAGTCATGATTAATTACTACAAGATCCATAAAACACACGAACCAGCAAGCTGCTTATCCGTTAAGAGATAGGAAAAGAGAACGTCGCAGTAAGACTGTACCGATGCGAAAAGTTTGGAAGATAACCAAATGTCAAGCGACGATAACTAATTCTGAATTTAACTACTCCCCATCGGCATCATAAAGCCAAGATAAGGTTGGTTGGAACAAGCACGGGCCTAAAATTTTGTGCCCAGGAGCAGCTTTAATCTCGGTAGTCTTAAAGATAACGATGTGAGGAGAATAAGCTGGGCAAACCGCGGTCTATTGCAAAGTTCTCCTTCAAATAGTATCCTTAACACGAAATTCCGTAAAAAAACGCTGGAACAATGAAGTGGCCCAGGCCTTGATCTACTGAAGTACCTACGGTGAACCAACTTATGCTCCAGGCTACCAAAGCATACAGACCAATGTTGACAACTCGCTCAAAAATGGCTGGAGGAGATTGATGCCCCATCCATCTCAAAAGCAGGTCAAAAGACTTCCCGGGTCTGCAACCAGGCCCAGGTAATTTGGAATGTCTCTGACAGTGGTAAAACGCAGCCGTCGTTCAACCGACCCAGATGCAATCTCACATGAATTCATACAATTGCTGTCTCAAACTGGATTATCACAACCCAACCGTGGTAGGAATAATTGGGAGCAAACTCCTTCACATACACTCGACTACATTCTCGAGGTGCAACTACTCCGCAAATGTGGAACAAGTGAACGGCTGATGTATTACGGATAAAGAAGTAAACGCCTAACATTTTCCGTGGAACGGCCAGTGTGAATTACTAATTCATCGATGTAACAAACTGTGAATCCCTGATTCATTGGTGCTACTTTGCTACTATCTATTTACAAGTGGTATATTTTTATTCACATTTGTAAGCATGATAGACAGCTTACCACAATTGATCCCACTCAGAACCTGAATTAACTGCGGAATTGCCTAGTTTAGAGTTTCCTCTTGGTCTGTATTACATAACCTTGGTTTAGTTAGTGAGACCGAGGTGCACAAAGACATCTGGACCACTTATCACGTAATTGAATGAGTGCAGGCTGCTCGAGCAGAACATCATCATCATCATCAGTACACGTTAGCTGAGGGTAACACAGCTAATGTGCAACAATACGAAGAAACTAAGAAAACAACACTACAAATCATAGAACAAAAATGATATTAAATATTATAATATACGTTTTGCGTGATATCGGGATTGGAGTAGGAACCTAAAGGGAGGGGAATGGACAAGGAAACTCACAATACAAACGCTATTGGAGCCGGCTCCAAGCCATATCAGCAAGTGTGTTCAACCAAACGTTTTCATCGTCCATTTGGCCCCAGCCAGCCAGTCAGAATGCACCAACCGATGCCAACTTCGAAGTGAGGGTTTTCATTTCTTTCGACCAAGTCATCGCTTGACCTCCCCTCCTCCTCTGCCAACCGCACCCACAACGCGCAAACAATGCACGTCGCGGGAATCGGTGTGCTGGCATGCGCAACACGTGGCCCAGCCATCGGAGCTTGGTGCGTGATATTATAGTGTTGAGCACTTCACGCGCTCTTCCCGCACCAAACACGCGGCGCCGAACACGCTCATTGCTCACGCGGTGATCCCACCAGACATGAGCAAAGTTGCGAAGGCAGCGATGATCGAATGTTACGAGCCACTTTATGTCGAGCAGAACACACGTACTTAATTACGAAGCCGTAATAAGTAGCCAGTTTACTACATAAACATTTGTGTAGAGCCACGATAACTACAGTACAAGTTGTTCTGTGCACCACTTCATTCTCATAGCCCAGACCGTGCATTTAGATAAGTGGCGTCGGCTAGCCGTTACACAGCACACGTTGAATACGCGTGGTGTTCAAAAATAACGGAACTTTTGCTATAACATCTTTATTGCTCAGTGCACAACAGTTTAAGCAGTTTCACCCTCAAAGTAATCCGCTCTACAGTACTTCCATTTTTGGGAAGCTTCCTGGAACGTACTTTCAAGGATGCCGCGCAGGTCTCGTGTCGCATTGTCCTGAATCTCCTCTATCGTTAAGAAAAGACGTCCTTGCAACGTGTTTTTAGTTTGGGAAACAAGAAGAAAGTCCGCAGGTGCTAGGTCGGGAGAATACGATGGATGGGGCACAACGGGAGTGTGATGTTTTGCCAGGTAGCTGCGGGCAAGGAGATATGCTTGAGCCGGCGTATTGTCATGATGAAACATCCAAGTCTGGTTTTCCCACAGTCCAGGCCTCTTCTTGTGCACAGCATCCCACTAACACGCTAGAATTTGATGGCACAGTTCTACGCTGATGCCCACTTCGTCAGCAGCTTGTCGAACAGTCAAGGCGATTTCCACGGATCACAACACGAATTCTCTCGACATGGTCATCATCTGTTGATACGGAAGGTCGTCCAGGCTTGGGATAGTCACCGACCGAAAATCTGCCGTTTAAAACATTTAAACCACTCGTAGCACTGCGTGCGACTCACACAGTCCTCCCTGTGACAGTCCCTCCCCGTGACTATTTCTTCCGGTAGTCGGAGACGATTGAGAAATTGTTTAAGCAAGCGCAACACAAACGACGTAATCACTTGGTCGTATATGTGGACTTCAGGCCACTTACTGTAAAAATATGTGGCGACAAGCATAGTTCTCTTATTTGTAGGAGCGGCAGCAAATGGACCCAGAATAGCAATGGCGAGCTTAGCCCACGGCTTCAACGGATAAGTATTAGGCTGTATTAGGGCTTCAACTGGCAAATAACTTTTGTCTGCTAATCGACAAGTGTTGCAGTCCCACACAAAGTGCTCAATGCTAGAGGCCACTCGTGCCTACCAATACTAGTATTTACTCGGTTTTTGGTCCGAACGATACCCGGGTGTCTCATGGGCACAAGTAATTATTTTGTTTACCAATTGGTATGGAGCTATAAACACCGAACCACGCGTCAGACAACCGCCTATCACTGACAGTTCGTCTCGGATTGCGTAATATTGAATGAACTCACCGGTAACTTTGTGGTTAATAGGCCACACCTGTTGCGTGTACTAAGTTGATGTAGTAACGGGTCGTTAGTATTTTTATTCGTACTTTCTCGATAGTCAAGGCTGTTATTCCAGAGCCAAGGCTGGAAACTTATACTGCCTTTCTGAGACTCTCCATGTCATCCTTCAGCCCCACACGTAAGCGAGATAATCCATCAGTAACGTAGTTTTACAAACCTTGCCAGTACACAATTTGAAAATCGTAGTTAAGAAGTCTAACATACCAACGGTCGAACCGAACTGGACGCAATCC